TTTTCGTGTTTTTTTTTTATGTTGGGTTCTTTGTTTAAACGTTGTACATTTGCTGTTATGTTAAACTTTTATTAAAGTTTTTTATCATTAACTATTCAAGCCGTCTCCAACCATTATGACCAGATTATTTAGTATGTGGGATGCGATGACATACTATACCTTTGTTGGTCCCATTCCAAACTTGTGGGCGATAGGACGCTTGAACATCTTTGAGAAAAGCTGACCAACATCATTATATGAAACAAATGAAAAGTCCTTGCTTTACAACATTCATCACCCACAGTATTTCTACTACTTTGATTTTTGTTGCCAGCTTTGCTTGGAAACGAATAATCTATCTAGTCAATGAAATATAGGGCTGAGAGAGCAGATAGTGATGGTGTATTCTGGTTACTGAAATTCCTCTACTGCCCAGGGTTGATTGAGACTTTCCAAAGCTAATCTTACCCGTTCCTACATGTGTAGACCATCGGCTATGCTGCTTCAACTGGGTGAAAAAAAAGAGGATTTTAACTTGATTTTTTTTTTGTAGCAAAGCACATCTGAGCTGTTCTGCTTCTGACATCACAGGCAAAAGTGGTGTTCATTAGTATCCTCGTTGTCAAGACAAGTCTTGAAATGTTCATTTCCCATGATTCAGCATGCTAATTCACTGATGAGAAATTGTATCTACTAAAGATTGTGATTAGCAAAACACGCATATATATTGAATTTACTAAACTAGTTCTAGTTGAAAAAAGCCATGGATGAATGTGCTAGCACGATACTGCATCATAACAGAAAAGCATCTTTTCTAGATTTTGCATCCTAAGAATTAAAAATAAATCTTCTTCTCAAGCAACCCCAGGAAAACCTTTTGCAAAATTTTGAAATTATAAAACTACAGGGAAGGCAGTTAGTCACAAGCATCTACTGTAAGCATTGGCTTCCCTAATAATGGTATTTTACTGTCACTCTTATTATCACTTATTCTCTCAAAGTTTGAAGTGCAATCAGATTAAACCCACGGACCCTCAAATTCACAGTCCGGTGTGCTAGACATTATGTTACCTCCACCCAAATTTAACTGAGTTGAGCCTGGATTTATGTTTATTAACCAACTTTATTCTAATTTTTCTGTATATCATTTAGTTCGTTGCTTTTCATTTGGCAATTACTTTATTTTACTTGGTTCCTCTACTACTCTGAGTAACACATATAAAGTACTTATAATAAAGGTTTTTATTTTATTCAAGCTTTTTTGATATCAAGTCCCAGTTGTTGGACCCCATCATTTGGACTACTTTCAGTGTGTTTTCATTAAGTCAAGTTTTTGTTAAATCTTTTATGTTCCTTAGAAAAAAAAAAAGAAGATAGTTAAGAAAGTCAAAAAGCCACAGTTACTAAATCGACAAAACAGATACTTTGAATTAATATTCATATAAGGAATGATCAAGATTCACAAGAAATAAATATAGTTTTACAATTCTGTAATATATATATTTTCTATGATCTGTAGTTTATCCAAATTCAAAATCAAGTAAGCCACATTGACTCGCTTCTAAAAGTGATGTGGGTTACTGTTTATAACTAATGAACTCCATTAAAAAATAATTTTTTGTTATATTTGAGAAAAAAAAAATACACTTTAGATACTGAGTAGTGAAGTTGGAAGAATAAGATATGGTTGATCAGATTGGAAACTTTACAATAAACAACAGTTATGAAATTCTGCACCTACATTTCTTTTTTTTCTTCAGTATGTTATCAAGTGTGAGTGATGGTTTTGACAGAAAAATATTTTTTGGTCGTTGTTTATATGTTGGCCAATATACTATTTTAAACCAAAACACTGTCAAAAATAAATGATGAATTTAACTTGTATAGTGTCACAAAATTATGAACTTCAGGCCACAATCTCTAAACTAAAAGAACATTATATACTTCACATTCATGTACAATAGCCACTTTTTATATTGATACAGAAAAAACTATTTTTTTTACAGACAAGAATATTATAACTGGTTTCTAATCCTTTATTTTCTTGTTCTATATTTTTAAAATAAAATATAAAAAACAAACAAAGCCACACTCAATACATTAATGGTCTATACATAAAAAATAATGAAATACAAATGTTATTAAATAGCCACTGAAACCATAATCTTCAGGTTTTTCTATGGTTAAATAATTAAAAAAAAGCAAATATATTATCTAAAGCTATATTTTAAATATTACTAATTCCTTTTCCACATTCCTAATTTTCTTAACATCTCTTGTTTTTTAACTTGTGAAAGCTCAACTTAAATGAATGATTCTATTCATTAGATTTATACTATTACATAAAAACCTAAAGTTTTGCTGGTAAAAATAAACATTTATGTTGATTCAAAACAAAAAGGTATAGTACATAAATCATCAATAGCTGGTTACACAATTGAACATAAGAGAAAATTCTAAATACCATGTTTTTTTTATCTATTTATTCATTCACAGCTGAGATGGCAAGCATACCAACTTGTGCACATTATTAAACTTACTTCTAGTAAGTCAGAGTAAAAAAGAAGAAAAAACCCTGTAACTGATAATTCATTGTAATGTAAATATTCCCATCCCTAATCTATGCCAACCTGATGTGCAGCAAGAAAACAAAGATTACAAAAAGAAGAAAGAACATGCATGAAATTAGATATTATAATTATGTAATATTTAGAAGGTGCAAGAAGAAAAACACTAAAATTAAATGGCAAAGAGTCGCATTTATTTTTCTTGTACAACAGCATCAAGTAGGGTGTGAACAATAGGAGTAACAGAAGGCATGACAATTAACAACTGCATCCAGGCACAAACAAACAAAAAACTGTTACACAAAAATATATCATTTACTCTCTTTTTTTCACTAAACGATTGACCATTAAGAAACATTACTGGTTAATACCATGCATACATATATACTTAGGATGTCTCAAGTTGTGTTACATGATGTATGCAGCTTTAGAATCAGTAATATTAACACTGAATTTAACAATTAAAACATTCACATGATAACATACAACTTGCAGAATAAAATCTCTACCATTAGTTGTCTAAACTGGTCTTGGACCAAGCTCTTTTCTTAATTTTTTCTTTATATAAGATTCACTGTACTTATGTCAAAATGTTTGTAATTGTATAAAAAAAAAAAGTGATGTAACATTTATGAACAATATCACATAATGGTTTTCATGACGTGTAGCCCTTTCCTTGAACTCATCAGCTGACATACCTCTAATTCTGAAAAAAAAAAGAAAATCATGTTTCAGGAGAGATTAATAATAAAAAAAAAGTTACAAAAAGTGATGTATTAAAATTAGAAATCTATACCCTTGTTGTAATGTGCATGGATAATTTAGAGAATTCTCAAATATGTTGCATGAAAATTTACTCAAATTTCTTCTTTAACCAATAAAAACCCATTAGTTCAATATTTTAACAATGAAAACCAACTGATAAATAAACTGGCCACTTAAGCATTATTGTATGGATTACTCTTACAAATCATATATATATATATTTTTTTCTTTATTATATATAAACTTCTATTTGATAATGTGTACACAAGCTTTAGAACAGCTGTTCTGTGACTATCAAACCAATTGTGAGTGAATATTTTCCCCACACCCTTAAAATCTAGTGGTAAATAATATACAGAATATTTAGATATATATTTACACATTTACTTACATGATTGAGAAACAAGAAAAGAGCATCAGTCAAGTCCAATTCTAATGTTTTAACAGCATTATGTACACAAAGGCCAAACAACAGCGAAATTTTATTTATAAGCAACGTTACACAGAGTGGTGAATTGAAATGTTCCATTAAGGCCAGCACCATTGAAAATGAATTTTTGCATGTGGCCATAAAAGACAACTTACTATTTGTTTTTATCACTCATAAAACACTCAAAAAATTGGAGTTAAGAGAAAATAGTTCACCTCTGAAATGTACAGTCTGGCATTACAAGTTCATGTTTTTAGGAGCTCTTCAAAGTTCCTGTACAGGTGATGAAAGCTCCTTTGATTCATTTGTATAATTAGTCTTAAAAAGGTCTGACTGTTCATAGGATGAAACATGAGGAATAAGCATTTTCTGATTACAATACTGCTATCGTCTTATGACAGAGTTCAAGGCCTGAGGAGAGAGACTTCCATTTAGATACCCATATGTGGTATACATGGTGTTTTGTGGTCTTGATGACTGAATTGACTCTTGGTATTGAGCTTGAGGGTGCATGTTGATGTTCACCATGCCCATGGGGACAGCAGCAGCTTGTAGCTGGGTAGGGTTAATAAATCCTGCATTGGTGATGTAACCTGCTGTGTTAACCATTGCTGCTGTTCCTGGAGGAGGTCCCTGTGGCATACGGTAGCTTACTCCATTCAAAGTTTGGTAGCTTGCTGCTACTAGATTGTGATTGATGGCTACACCAGAGCTTCGTTGGACTTGTCTGGCATGGTATCGATGGCTAAACTGACCATAGCCATGACTGGCATTGGACGGTATTGATCCTTGAGGCTGTAGACTAGCAATCCCATGCTGCATTTGAGATGGAAGGGTGATATTCACCTGTGGTGATGGAGAAGTAAGGTTTGGTGGTGGAGTCATGGTATTACAAGAGGGTGAACCAATGTCCATGATTCCATTAGTAAGCTGCTGAAGTTTAGCAAGGCTACAGCTATAGCTGCCTTGAGATACAGGGTTGGGCCTTGGTGTAGGAGTGCAGGAGTAATTAGGAGACTGGAAGTGGAATCCTGCTGGCACAGTGGAAGATACAGCACATGCAGAAGCTGCTGATGAAGGAAGACCAACATTGACATGGGTTAGGCGTTGCATAGTTCCTGGTATTGTGACAGGAGCTTGATTTGCCATATTTAGATTATGATGACTCTGTTGCTGAAACTGTTGTGAGTGGGCAGCAACTGCTAAGGCTGGAGTTTGGTGTTGGATCATGGTAGCAACTGGAACACCTACTCCTACCATGTAAGATCCAGCAGGACTTCCTCCTGTCATTGCCATGTTTACAGTGTTCATATAGTTGGTGGAAGAACAAATGGAGGATTGTCCTACCAATAAAGTATTCACTGAGGGAGAATTGACATTAACCATACTATTTTGCACTAAGTTTGACACAGGAGGGGTCACTGTACGTCCATGTGATCCAGCACAGCCAGAAACAGAATGTTGCTGGGGAGGTGCAACTCTGTTGCCACAATTACTTAGACCACTAGATGGGCACTTGTGGGACTGGACTTGAGCTTGCCGCTGAGCCTGTGCAATAGCAGCCACAGCTGCTGCCATTGCTCCATGTGGTGGGGTACTGTGTGGGGTGTGAGTTGCATTGCAGTAAGGATTCTGTAACTGAGCACAATCAGGGTAAGGCTGTGGAGTTGGAGTTGGCTGTGGAGGCTCAACAGAGTTTTGAGCCATTTCACTACTACTAATGGATGTTGGAGATTCCAGGCCTAACTGTGTTACATCTATCTCCACAGAGTTAAACCCACCATTTGAAATAACACTATTTGTTGAAGAATCAGGAGTGTAAACTCCCATATTAGCAAGGTCATGAGGTGTAGGAGTTGAGTTGTGTTTCCGAATGATTCCACTGGGAGTGGATGGAGTAGAGGAAGATGGTTGAGAAGTGTGACTGGCATCAACAACAGTGTCCATTCTCTGAGGAAGGTCACTAGTAGTAACATCTGTTTCTGGAGATGTTGCTTGCAAGCATTCAAGATTGTTACAGAATTCTTCTGAAAAATTCTTCTGAAATTCAGAAGTATTGTTTGTTTGACTAGAAACATTGGTATCCAATTCAATGAGTACCGGTGTTTCCTGGGGGTGACCCACAGAGTTAATAATGTTCGAAGACACAACTGTCTCATGATGCTGTACTTGAAGATTTTCATCTAAGCTGCACATAGTTTGGCTATTGCTAACACTAGAAGGAGGGTCAGAACTGGAAGTCATTGGAGTAATTGACTGAACAGGAATTTGATGAACAGTTGTGGTTACTTCCAGCTGCTCTGCTACAGTGTCTGTGGCCTCTGATATGACTATTGTTGGGCTTGATATATCTTCCTCATTAATTTCCAATTCATTTGAAATAGAACAAGATACTGGCTCTTCAAAGTCTCCTGACAAATTGTCATCATTTTGGCATTTCTCTGCTTCTTCAAGTTCATCAGCACAATCTTCTTCTGTTCCATCACACTTATCCGGAGAAGTGAGAGTGCTGTCTTGTTGAGATGTTATCTGAGGGGTTTCACAAGTGTCATGGTCAGTGTTCCAGTGTTGTGAATGTTCTTGATCTTTTCTCAAAATGTTAAGAACACTTTGTTCAATTTCTTCATTTGAATGGTCCTTTTTATTTATGGGGTCAAGATTTTCTAAACTGCCTTCAGAAGTTACTTCTTTGTGTGTCCTGCTTATTGTAACATGAGGATTCTGCAAAGAAGAGTCATAGTCTTTATCCTTATAGAGAGGAGTTACAAAAAGTTCCAATTCAGTTGATTCTTCAACTAGCTTAGGATGTTCAATATTACTCTTGTTCCATTGCTCCTGGCAACAAACAATACATTTGGATGAGGAGAGTAATTCACTTTTTAGATTAAAACAGCATAAAACATTACAAATCAACATAGATCATAAAGTTTAATATAAACATACCTCCAATTTAAAGTCAGTTAAGACTGAATACTCTACCTTTCCTTCAGCTAGATTTTTTCTCACAAAGTTTAAAGTTACATGGCTATTTTGTTCATAAAATTTTGAAATTAGCTTCTGATATTTAATTATGCTAAAAACAACTATATACAATTATAGTTCTATTAATAAAGTGCTGTATTATTTTTAGATAGTCATTTTACCTTAGTTTAAGAATTATAAAACTTGTTAACTAATATATAAAATGACTAACAAAACAATTACAATAATGATATACAATAACAATGTGAATTATACCTGGGATGCACAAAGGCTGAATCTGGAATACATTAATTACACAGAAAAAACAAATTATTCCTCATCTAAAGTTAAAACTGTATTATAAGTTAGAAATATTCTTGAATGATCATGGAATACTGTTTGCAGAGAAAAGGAATAAGCAAGGTAGAATTAGAAACAAAAAATAATGATGTTAAACCCTCAAAAACATGTATACTAAAAACAAAGAATAAAATTCACCTTCAATTCTATGTTTGATGTTAAACTTGCTGGACAGACTGGTTTCTTCTCAGACAAGGTTACAGAGTTACTGTATTCATCTTCCTTAAATAACTGCTTTTTACTTAAATCTGTTACTGAAGCTTGTAAATCAGGTGGTGATGAATCAAGCTTAACAGATGGGTTCTGGCTTTGTACTGTAACTGTACTTTTGGGAGAAATATCTGGGGCAAGAACTGGTGGAGTGAGGCCAGACTCTGGCTCTGGAAGTGTCACTTTATCATGTGTTTTTTCAGGCACAATATTTTTCAGCTTCTTTCGTTTCTTGCGTTTACTGCTACTCTTTTTATTTGAGGATGTTCCCGACTTCTTGGACTTCTGTTTCTTCTGTATTGAACTTCCACTCTTGGACTTCTCTAAACGATGTTTTGACTTCTTTCTAGACTTTTCACTTTTGTGAGACTTCTGGCTAGATTTTTCAACTTCTTTATCACCTATAAAATTAAAGTTTTTATATCAAAACTAGCCATATTACTGGTGGGTAAACTAAATTAACTTATAAATAGTATCTAAAATAACTTTTTCTCAGAGAAATGCTGCAAGAAAAACTAATTTTCTGTGCTAAAATAAAGAAATATAAAAATATAGCAAAAAAAAATCCAATCAAAAAAACACCAATCAGTAATTTTTTTTTAATTAAGATTTCCTGAGCTTTCATTACTGATATAAATCCTTATTTAATTTATTACTTAAGAGTTTGAAAGTCAAGAAAAAGTAAACTACTGCTGTTTGTCATTCAGTACAAATGCTATATTACTGAAACAATATGTCCCTTATATGGGATCTGTGTGACTTAATGTTGATTTTGACAAAACTACATAGGCTCGTAACAATTTAAATAAATTCAGTAGTGAAGTTTATACTTTGATAAGAAAAAAAATCTATAATCTAAGTGACTGATTCTATTCACCATTTTTAAGAAATTTTATGCATAAATGTTAAGTAATTAACAAACATTGTGCATTCATACCATAAGCATATGTAATAGTTTTTTTTTTATAATCTGAATTAAACCAACTTGCAATAATGATCATACCATCTCTAAGCTTTAATTCCCTTTTCAGAGCTGCTAATTTTTTCTTCTTCTTGCTCTTCTTTTTCAGCTTCCCTTCCTTTTGGTTTGAATGTTTTTCAATGCTTTCAGATTCTTTACGAGATGATTCTAGGCAAGAAAAACTGGTCTTTAAATTTGTACTATGATCTTTCTTTTGTTTCTTCTTTTTGGGTTCCATATCATCTAGTTCATGACAAAGTGATGAAGAGTTCTTGTGTTTCTGAGAAGAATGTTCTCTCTTTCTTTTCTTTTTCATTTTTAAATTGTTTTTCTTTTTAGATTTGTCTTTTTTCTTTGATGCATGTTGATTACTTTTACAGTTATCATGTTTTTCCAACTTTGTTTCTTCACAAGGGCTTTTTCCTGATTTTGTCTCTTCTTTTTTTGCCTCTTTCTCTTCTATAGCTTTGTTTTCAGATATATTTGCTTTTTCTTGAGTGTTGTTTACACTTGCATTTGTCTCTTCTTGAATTTTGCTTTTATCAGTGTTTGCATCTTGCTGAATTTTGTCTTCATCAGTGTTTGCATCTTGCTGAATTTTGTCTTCATCAGTGTTTGCATCTTGTTGAATTTTGCCTTCATCAGTGTTTGCATCTTGTTGAATTTTGCTTTTATCAATGTTTGCATCTTGTTGAATTTTGTTTATAAGTGTCTTTGCATTTTCTTCAACTTTGCTTTTATTTGTCTTAGGATCTTCTTGGATATTGTTTTTAATTGCTTTTATATTACCAGACTTGATTTTAGTCATCTTTGTATGTTTTTCAACTTCAGTTGTATCACTTGTTTCACTCTCTGGTAAAAGTGAATGACTATTTTCTAATGGTTCCTTTATAAAGCAAGATAGCTGTCTTTGAATAGAGTTCGATTCTTCAGGCTAGTAAAAAGATAAATAAATTAAAGATGTAAGAAAATAATAATAATATTACTACAGTTATCTATCAAAAGAATAAATTGACTAAAAATCATATTACAGAGGCAGGCACCAATATAAGAACCACTTTAGTACAAGTAATTAACACAGTTATTTCTAGAAAAATGATTTTTGAAAACATTAATTCTTAAGCAATTTTATCTCTATGCATATCAATATTTTTAACTAATGCAAGATTAAGGTTCTATTGGCTACACATTCTTAGCAGAAACATTTTATCAATCTTTTGAGCTTTAAAATTCTTGTATCACACACATTTGCCAGATTCACCCTTTCAGACAATTAACAGTTTACTGCCATTTTTGTATTCACATTCATTAAAAATAATGCCCACTGAATATTTTTGGGCCTAAATTTGATTTAGTAGACTTATAATTTTATTGAAATAAAGAAAACTATTATGTGACATGACTATATATACTATGCTGTTACACAGTATGCTCATAACTGTGGACCTGAAGCTACATTTCACACATACACACTAATTAGCAATAATACAATATCAGGCCTAATGAGATCATGTATTAGCCCATTTTGTGGAAGGAAATTTTGCAGAAAATGATT